AAAAAAAGAAAAGAATGCAAGCTAATTATATCTAAAACTTGTTCGTTGGTCTTTCAGTCTGTCAGTGAAGACCGTCTCTCTCTCTCTCCCGTCCCTCTGTCTAGTCTAGGCAAATGACAAGGCCTTTCTTTCACTTCACCCCCTGTCCGTTTCAGGCCGACCAGATATCGTGGAAAATTTTTCCCCGGGGTGTGTTTACATTTCTGACATCACTTTTAAACTTTGAAGACACTTTATGAATATATTATTTTTTTCTTTGTTTTTTTCAGGCCGTGTTTTTTGTTTTGATAATTATAACAGCATCATTCGGCCTAGCCTAGTTTGTTCGCCTAGCTCTAGATCTAGATCTAGATCTAGTTATATTATTAATCTTGTTGCTTGTTTTGTGTTTGATGCCCACTTTTCTTTTCTTTCCTTTTCTCTCTCTCTCTCTCTCTCTGGTTATATAATATAATATGTACATACGCTCTCTCTCTCTCTCTTCTCTCTCTCTCTCTCTCTCTCTCTCTCTCTCTCTCTCTCTCTTTCTCCATCTTTTTCTCATTCTCTCTCTTTATCCCCCCTCTTCCGTTTCCTTCTTTCTCTCTTTCTCATTGTCTCTATGTGCCTATCTCTACCATGATCAATTTGTCCTTTGATTTCTCCCCCTTCCCCCAGCCCTCTCTTTCTTCTGTCTACCTTTCTGTACCTTAGATAGACAGTGTAATAAAACCAGTCAAGCAAGCACGCCAGACTCAGCCGTACAGTATCTCACACATTGATCAACTTCGTCATCATGATTTATCACGAAGTTCACCTCGTGGTTACGAGCTTAATCGTGTATAAAAGACATATTGAAGCTTAAGATAATAAATAGTCGTACTCAGACAGAAAAAAGCTTGAGATGACAATTTTGTCTTACTCACACAGATAGAATGGTACAGTAATAGTAGTCGCACCCACACAGATAGAGGCTTATGATTCTCGCAGTCAAAAAGATAGCAGCTTACGATAATAATATATCAATCGTACTCACACAGAAAGAGGGTGTGGTGGCGGAGCGGTTAGTGGGCTCGTCTCCGAAGCGGAAACTCCGGGTTCAAGCCTCGGTTCGGGCACGGATTTTTTCGCCTCCTCCTGTCCACCCAACAGTAATGTGTACCTGACTTCGAGTTGGGGAAGTAAACGCGGTGTGGAAAGGAACTGGCCACCCTACCACAATATGCCGAAGGCCCAGGAAATTGTCTCACTAACAAGGCAATCTCGTATGTCCGGATCGGATGCGTGGAACAACATTACTCACACAGAAGCTTACGATATAATAGTCGTACTCACATAGATAGAAGCTTACGATATTATAGTCGTACTCACATAGATAGAAGCTTACGATATAATAATCTTACTCACATAGATAGAAGCTTACGATATTATAGTCGTACTCACATAGATAGAAGCTTACGATATAATAGTCGTACTCACATAGATAGAAGCTTACGATATAATAGTCGTACTCACATAGATAGAAGCTTACGATATTATAGTCGTACTTACATAGTTAGAAGCTTACGATATAATAATCTTACTCACATAGATATAATATAATAGTCGTACTCACACTCCTTTAAGAGTCCACTCTGCAAATCCTCGTCCAGCTTTGCCTCTAGGGTACGACAAGGTAGGAGCATATGCCTCCAGTATGTCGCCACGAGAAGATTGTACTTCGGCCCCACCACATACTGTAAGTCCTTTAGACTGGATGCGCGTTTGGCCAACTCTGAGTCTTGTCCCAAGACCTTGACTCTGGTGAGCAAGGTTATTACCAGAGCCATGCTCAGTAAATGAGCGCGTGAGCTGGATTTCATGACGCAGCCGTCTGAAAGTAGTTTATAGACTTCACGATGTGTGACAGGGACTGGCACTATGATTGTGGTTAGTAAGCCGTACTGCTCCAGAAAATAATGGATGTCGTTCAGAAATGGTTGCTATATCCGCGGTGTTTTATTCTGACTATCCATTTTTGGAATCTTCTGATTTTCACAGTCGAGCTTTAAAAATTTGACGTTTACGGCCGTCCCGGTCTTCGTCTGGGAGGGGGTAGGGTGCTGTGACTGTCGTTCTCCAGATTTAACTGTCCAGAATATTACCTGAAACATGGAAAATAAACACAATTTTTTTTTTAATGAATCATAATGCACAATTCATATAGATGTTAACCTGTTGCCAGATTCTAAGACGAATGGCGAAAGCCATATTCACTCAGGATACATCCTAGGATACAAAATATTATTGCCTTATTTCGGTAATCTGAAGTTGCAAGAATGTCGTCGATCACCAACGGCCGCTATTTTATGTAAGTTACAGACTTAATTCTGACTTTCGGAAGTTTGATACATTTCAACAACAACACATTTTTACCAACCCGGAAGGACATAACACAACGAATGACTTACTGATTCCAAGGCAATAGATCGTAAATATATAAAATTCTGTTGCATTTTCAATGTCCCTCTTATCAACCTTAACCTTTTTAAAGCTTGAAAAAAAGCGGGAGTGGGGTACCGGGGTGGGGGGGTGGGGGTGGGGGGGGGGTGTATTAACATTTTTGTTTGCCTTGGTCTCTCCTTTTTATCGTTTATGCTGATGTAGACAACTTCCCCACCCTACGGGATGAACAGTGCTCCTTCAAATATGTCTGTAAGCCCATAAGAAAGCCCATAAGAAAGCCCATAAGAAAGCCCATAAGAAAGCCCACAAGAAAGCCCATAAGAAAGCCCATAAGAAAGCCCATAAGATGAGCGCAAACACAACCACCGACGTGAAATCTGACTCCAAGATCGTTTTAAAAGGGTTAAAGACGCCTTGCCCACATCCCCATGTGTCATATAGATCTCCCAGACGCCTGTGAGTGATATAGTTAAGGTGCGGCATAGTGCGGGTTTGACACAATTTCTGCAAGGCTGGGCCTCCAAATTACAAGTCCATCTCCGATAGGACTGAGTAAAGCAGGTGGGTAATCTTGAATACTTGTCGAACAACCCACTCCTAAGTGGGGAATCAATCAAGGACAGCCACTTAGTATGATGTCAACTAAGCTAGTGGGACGCTTACTTCTTTTAGCTATATGAAGGAAGAAGCGACAAGTAATGTCTACTCATATTTTGTCAATGCATTGTTTTCCTAGAGCAAATTGCTGAACTTTTAGTCAAATCCTTATCTGATAAGATTTGATACAGTTAAGGGAATTCACGTAAATCCTCTAATCCAAACATGTTTGACTTCCGAGGTTACGAATAGCCAATCACAAGCCAAGTATGTGTCATACAATTGCGAGGTCACATCTTTTTGTTTCTGCGTGAGTTGCAATAAGCCCTACTGGACTTCCGAGTCGAATCTGATGAGTTAAGGCAAAGGTCAGTTTGAAATGTTTGCACAGGCCAGTGCTAACACTCAAAAGCCCCCTCCGACCTGATCATACATTTACATTAACCACTGGACATCCGTCTCAAAGAGATTAGGCAACAAGTATACATAAACACTATGAGTCATCTCTCACCTTTAGCAATTTGTGGCCAAATGTTGAGTGCACAGTTGAGGTAGGAAAGATATGGTGCCACTTGAACATCGAGAGCTAGCCATGATAAAGGCCATTGAGGTATAAAATGGTGAGCCTTTCTTTTATAAAGTCGGTGGTTTGAACGTGTCAGTTCTTCTGGGCTCCCGTGTTACAACAGAGACTGAAATACAAAGAAAACAAATGTTGCATTTATTGTACTCCTAAAACGTGTTAGTAAGTTAGTAAGTACATGTATATTGGTTCTACGTTCCTTTCGCCACTCTTACGGTTATCTAAGAGGCAGGACCTCCAAATTTAAATTTAACGCATGTCTCCGATAGAACACTCCGTAAACACTCTAAGCGCAATGAAGCCTTTTTCTTCGTCGTTCTTATTATCTCTACATACCATATTTGTTCGTCACTCTGGCCGCCTAAAACTTCCGATCCACTTAACTTTCGATTTTGACCAAATTAATGGTGGTTCAGAATTATTTAAAGGGTGCAAGGTTTTATTGTGAAACCTGAAGTCACTGTAGTTTAATTTTCAGTTTTTCATATTAGTTTCGTTTAGGTCTATTCTTGGGAAAGTCCGTCTTCAAAAACGCCACTGTAAACAAGTGAGGTTTCTGTTCACTAGCCGTGCGTACTGGTTCCACACCTTCGAAATTCTGGGGTGTACAACCACGAAAGCGGAATAGAGAATCAGTCTATACATATCTATATATATCTATATATATATATATATATATAAAAGTGGACTTGGGAGGCTTTGTGCACAAACGCCTCCCTTATTACCTCACCCACACCTTGGAAACTTTGCAGGCGTCCACAGCATCCATGTGGCTAGGACCTAACTTTAAAAAAATCCACGCAAACTGCTTTCCCCGATTTTTCCAAAATATTTTGCTTCGTCCACACAGAGTTCTAATCTTGAGAAAGTCCGTCTTCTAAGACGCCATTGTAAACAAGTGTAGTTTCCATTCACTAGCCGTGCGAACTGTTTCTACACCTTTGAAATTCTTGAGTGTTCAACCCCGAAAACGGAATAGAGAATCAATCTATACATCTATTATATATTTGGCAACTCGTAAACATGTGTCTCACTTTTCTCTCAAGATTTATTGTTCCATTCCAGTAGAGGGTAAATATAGTAGGCCAATGCAATGACTTTCAGTTGAGGTTAATGCACCGATCATTCCTTTCATCGAAAGGAAGCCCAGCTAGTTATATAATCAATCTAGTACCTATCACTTTGGTTATCTTTCTTCCATGCTATCTCTCTATCCCTGCTTTTATCTGCCTGAGTGCCTGTCTTCTAACTCCACTGGTGTATCAGTCAAAGGGGGAAAAAAAGAAACAAGTCCCAGGATCTGCTCTTGAAGAAGCGTGCACTAGGCTGACCCTTTCTGAAAAAGGAGCATTAATGCAAATACATATTCAGGACATGGTCTGCAGAAGAGCATGGCTTTTATACCCGATCCCAAATTTAACATGCTGATTTAAAGTTGTAGTGCAAATGTGCTAGGATGGTCCGATGCAAAGACTTATTAATTAAAAAGCATACAAAAACACTGCTGGCGTTCCGTAAGGTCGGCTTTTTTAAAGATGAACGTGTTAATTTCAAGAGGTTGAGGTGCGGTAGACACTTGTCTGGGCTTTAGCGATTTTGTAGAATAAGCATAACTGCAAAGGGCATTATCCTCAGATGTTTCAGCGTAATTTGATTTCCCTTCATTCATCATGTTTGCTGTTTTGAGTTACAATCGAGGATACCGGAACTAACGATGACCTTGGTTACGATCCAATCCGATTCAGAGATTAAAAATACAGAAGTTGAGGAGTGCTTGTTTCGGCTCGTTAATGCTGCTGCTGCTGCTACTGATGATGTAGAGGATGGCAATTATAACGATAAGCATAATATTAATAATAACCATGACAACATGACTATAATGATAATATTAATCACATAATAAAAAAACAATAATAACTGATAATAATAATAACTGATAATAATAATAATAATATGATAATAATAATAATAATAATAATAATAATAATAATAATAATAATAATAATAATAATAATAATGATAATAATGAAAATAATAATAACAACAACAAAAATAGTAATAATAATAGTAGTAGTAATAATAATAATAATAATAATAATAATAATAATAATAATAATAATAATAATAATAATAATGATAATAATGATGATGCTGATATTACTACTACTACTACTACTACTATTGCTACTGATACTGCTGCTGCTGCTACTACTACTACTACTACTACTACTACTACTACTACTACTACTACTACTACTACTACTACTACTACTACTACTACTACTGCAAATAAATAACATAATAATAACAACAAAAATAATGACACTAATAATACGCTATTATTATTGTTACTACTACTATTATTTCTATGATTATGATTGTTATTATTATTACATGTATTATTATTATTATTATTATTATTATTATTATTATTATTATTACCATTATTATTATTATTATTATTATTATTATTATTATTATTATTATTATTATTATTATTATTGTCATATTAATAGTCTACTAATGAAGATGATGATGATGATGATGATGATGATGATGATAATGATGATGATGATGATGATGATGATGATGATGATGATGATGATGATGATGATGATGATGATGATGATGATGATGATGATGATGATGATGATGATGATGATGATGACTTGGCAACTCTGGAAGCATTAGAATATCAGATAATTTTTTTTCTTGAAACAAAAGAGACACTCATTCATGCGTTTCACTTTTATTAAGGTTGTAATCCGTTGACACATAACTATGCAGAATAAACTATCATTATTGAACAGCAGGAAGAAGTGTCATCGATGGTAAAGATGGAACTGAGACATATGTAAAAGCAAGACCAGCCAAGACAAGGTCAGCATTCAATCAATTAAAAGTCTAGAAAGCAAGCAGCATCTCACTGCGCACCAAAATTCGACTCTTAAACTTCAATGTCAAGCCTGTGCTCCTCTACGGCTGCAAAATTTGGAAGACAACAGAGACAGTACTGAATAAAGTTCAGACTTTCATCAACAGATGTATGAGGAGTATCCTAAGAATTAAGTGGCAGGGTAGTATAAAAAAAGAAGAGCTGTGGGAAAGGACATGACAAAGGAATCTGGAAGAAGAAATAGGACTAAGAAAGTGGCGATTGATAGGACACGCCCTCAGAAAGCCCAGCGGAAACATCTCAGGAGAGTCGCAGCAGTGGAACCCACAGGGAGCACGAGGCAGGGGTAGGCCACGGGAAACATGGAGGAGATGCGTGGAAAGGGACATGAGAGGGATGAAGCTCACTTGAAACGAGCTTGGAAGGATGGCACAGGACAGAGATAAATGGAAGGAGCGTGATTATATACCTATACACTGCCAGCGGTGAAAGGCATTGATGATGATGATGATGATGATGAATACCAGGAAGAAAATACTCATTATTATATCCAAACCGATTTCTCAGGTATAAGTCTTCAACTGTCCAGTTTCATTTTCTGTTGTAACTAGATCATACAGACGGGATTCATTAACTAAAAAAGTAAGTTATTAAATTACAGAACATTAATACCAGAAAGAGGACACTCATAATAATTATTCAAACCAATTTCTCTTTGATAAGTCTTCAACTGTCCAATTCCATTGTCTGCCTCGACTAGATCATACAGTATGAAACAAACGAGATTAGCTGAGTAAGTGTCTATCCCACTTCCGTGTGAAAACGTCAATGGAATCAAACAGATGAACCCGAAGCTTCTTTTGTGAACGGCACTCCTTCTATTAAATGTCAAGGGGCAGTAGGAAAACTACTCTTACGACTCGCTATACGATGAAAGCCCTGACTCAAACAAGCTTCTGCTAAGGGTTCCAAAAGAGGATGTACAGAGATAGACCAGATCAAATTACTTTTCCAAAAACAGCATCGAGAGAACGATAACTAGATCTATATCCATTTTTTCTTCTTCTCATCCGCTGGTTTAGGGAGTGTGGTGGTTTGAGAAGTGTTTTTATATATTTTGGGGGGTCTTTTTTTTAAATTGACACCTGACTGTATCTCCCCCCCCCCCCCCCCCCCAAGGCAAAGCATAGTAGCTGTGTTCTATTGAAACAGTTTGAAAGCCTGTCAAATAAATAAATAAATAAATAAATAATAAATAGATGATAAATAAATAGATAAATAGATAAATAAATAAATAAATAAATAAATAAATAAATAAATAAATAAATAAATAGATAAATAGATAAATAAATAAATAAATAAATAAATAAATAAATAAATAAATAAATAAATAAATAAATAAATAAAATAAAACGACGTAATGAGTAAATGAGTAAATGAGTAAATAAATAAATAAATAAATAAATAAATAAATAAATAAATAAATAAATAAATAAACTCACATAGAAACCAAGTAGTAAATACATAATTGAAACACAGAATTAAAGAATAAACTAGTTTTGGATTTATAAATACATAGCAACAGCAAATTAATTGCATTGCAGACTATTCATATGACCCCATGCAAGAACTAGTAAGCCAGAATTTATATTATTTTGCGTGGTTTGGGGAAAAACAATCAAATATAACAAACAATACAACGGTAAAGACTTACTAGAAAAAGCAAGTATGGTACTTAGATTTCAAATTTATACATCTCACACCAAGTCCTCTACACAGATACAAAAACTGTATATATAAATATATATATATAAATATATATATATATATATATATATATATATATATATATATATATATATATATATATATATATATATATATGAACAGATGTTGGTAATCAGCAAAGCTGAAAAGCAAACCCGGATGTCCTGAGATAGAGGCCTTAGGCCGGTGTTCGCACACACAAAACGACTTCCACATCAATCGCACCAATTTGCATCATGTTAATCCCAGTGTCCACGAAAGAATCAAGTTCACTATCACGATCTTGCAAACAAAAAGTTACAAGGAACCAGTAGTCATGTAATAGTAACTACTCTGCTAATTTTTGCCCGTTACTTTTAACGACTTGGGTAACAAAAAGCCTACATGTACTTTTCAAAGTGTAATAACATTATCAATTTATAATGAGACGTTCTGATTTAAGAAAA